TTTTAACCCTTTTATTTCGTAGTGGTTTGTAAAAAAAAAACGCATATAGCCAAGAAACCTTTTTTTTTAAAACATGTATTTAGCCTTCTAAATTGAAACAAAAAGAATACAAGGGAGACAATTAGGGACTACATTCTGCACTCTGCAGAGTGGAGACTCGGGGTCCCGGGGAGTATTGACATTTACCATACGGAAATTTTCGGTTGGTTTATTATTGAAAATATAAAAAAAACCCCTTATTTAGTTCCATCATAATTCGTAGCTTTCTGAATAATATACATTCTATTTGATTTTCTATTTAAAAACGAATTCAATTAAAAAAAACAATTCACCTACCATTTATCAGAAGTACTCATCAGGAGTCCGGGCAGTAATAAATATGTATAATTTCTGTATACATTTATGATTGTCTATTTTGAAAAAAAGAGGGCAATGTACATCTGGAATTCACAATGCTTCTGGCCTCTCTATATATTTAGTAGCCTCTGGCATACATATTTTTATTAAAACAATTATTTTTAATACATCATAGTATTATCTCGATTTTCTTTCTCCAGTTTCTCCATTTTTTTTTAATTGTTTTCTATTATTAGAAGGCGATGTAATGATGATGTGATATACTGCGTGGCCTTCAATCTTAGCTTTCTATAACGACATTTCCGAGACTCGGAATATAAATAAAGCTTAGCCGGCGCGAATCAAAATTGGTTAAATTTCTAACCTAATAAGGTCATAAACAAACATCAAACTTCTTGCATTTCCAATCACAATAGTGAACACTGAACAGAGGGCCCTGTTGAGTGTTAACACATGAGAGTGAGTTGAGACTTGAGAGTTGAGAGTATAGTTGAGACGAACCTGTGGTCTTGTTGTGAGAAGTTGAGGGTTGAAGTGGTGTCACTGGTGTCAGGGGTGTGTGACTGTATTTGTTTAAAAAAAATATAGATAAATAAATAAGTACTGTATTTAGAGTGTTCACCTGTGTTCGGCTGTTCCCTAATTCCCTTACCTAAATAAACGTGTGATTTTATTTACGAGCTTATTCTAATATTAATTTATGTCTATTTTGGAAAAAATAACAACAAAAAAAACATGCACATAAAGGCTAAAGTTTTACATACAGTCAGGCCATACATCACATCATTAAGATACGTATTGTACGTTTTCTTAACAGATTTAGAAAGAGTCCTTCATCCTATTTCTTAATTATGAATCTATGTCCAAAATTATTTATTCTTCATAATTGAGAATTAGCATTAAGAATAAGATATTCCCGATTTTATAGCACATGTTACATAATTAAGAGTAAGGAATTATCAACTCAACTTATTAATTTTGCTATAGGGATAATATTATTTATTTCAAAAATGGCAAGTATGTATGATACAATGTATGAACATATGGTATGGCTCTCATAGTCGCTGTAGTGGTTCAGGAAAGATTGATGGGAAGAAGTGGTCAGTAAATTCCCGTTTGAAGCTTGGGCCAAATGAGTTGACAATGGAAGATATGTGCTGAGTCAATTCCGGCCGGTGTTGACAAAACACTGTTACTATCGAATGTTCCATATATTCGCTTGCTGACCTACTAAGTAGAGTACCCACCTCTGTGGTACGGATCGGATCTGCGCCGTGTAGTGCCGCGGAATGGGTTAGTGCAGAGTACGAAATACCGAGAAGGACCAGGTTATCCGTCATAATCCGGTCGAGAGGCGAGAATGAAGGTAAGCCAATTCCACACCAGACCACGGATGAATTCGGTATGTGTTGGCTGGCCTGGATCGAAAGTATCATAGTCGGAACCAACAAGCGCGATGATTTGGTTTGAACCGATATTTGAAAGTAGTACTTCAACAGCGTGAAAAGCCGGAGTATGGGGAACATCTGTTGATATGTCAGAGACGGGTGAGGGTACGGTAGTTCTTCAACATGCTGGAGAAAAGATCCAAGGTGTTCGTGGAGGGTCCAGATACCGTGGAAGTCGTCGCACTCCTGTAATTGCTAAAGGAGGTTAGGGCCTTGCTATAGTTCTATAATATTATTTCTTATTAAGAAATAATAAGAAATATATATATTATTAAGATTAAGTTATCAATATATATCCATATTTCATTCTTAATATGTCATGTATAAGATTCGGTCTCTCAAGGTGATATTAACGCCTTAAAATAAATAAAAGCGTAGGTAAATTCTTAAGTATCGTGAAAATATCAAAGAAAATAAACGAAATGAGACATTTAGTAAAGTTAGGAAAAACAGCAATACTCTGAGGGATTGTGAGGCTGAGACATTGCCTATATATAATCTTCTCAGTACTGTTTCCGCCGAAGGGATTTTATTTAGTGTTTCGTTGTCGCTCTATTAGAAACTATGGTATGTTTTTTTTGGGGCGAATCCGAGAAACTCATAAAGTCCTATCTTTAGAAAAATAAATAAAAAAGAATAATACTTTTGATGTCCTTAGTTATTGTCTTAACCAATAGCATGCCACTTATCAAGAATCACCGACTTAGCCTGCATTAGACTGTCATATCTGGTTGGCTGATCGGAGGATCAACTAGGTAACGTTAATATCCCTAGAAACCTATATTCGGTTGAACCATCTCGCTACCGAAAATATTCAGATATAAATAAAGTTGTAAAGTAAATAAAGTTCTATTGATAGAACTAGAACTACTCTTTATGTTTGATATTTTACTGAGGCCTTTCAATGGCCTCGTCCAAATATCTGATATGTAAAATAGAAAAAGTATTAATTAATAAAGCCATTAAAAACCATTTTAAGAAACTTAAGTTCCTCGTGCTATTAAGAGCATATTTAGGAGACTTAAGTTCCTCGTACTATTAAGAGTACATTTATAATTTACGTACTGCTTAAGAGTACGTTTATAACATAGAGTCTAATGTGGAGGCCCGGCTTATTACACATACGAGTGACATTGTGACAGACAGACCCTTGGTGACTCATCGCAATCAGGCTTGAATCGCTTGATCACATTTCACAAGTATTTCGACACAGAACAGTGAGAAGTTGAAAATACAGAGCTACAAACACTGTGACACACACGACATTAACTAAATATGTCCCATTGCCACAATATACACAGTCACGTCAATATGAAATTCTCTTCCCGAAGATGGCGATTCTACACACCAGCAATGCTGGATGCCTTAAATGAACTACCTAAGGAGATACAAGCGATCTTACGCTTCCCTCAAATTGATCGGCGCTACAATATTCTACTTATGGACACATTCATGTACAAATATCTGGGTGTGTTGGGCACGCAGGATTCGAACTTGTATATGGATATGGAATTCCAGATACATGTTCAAGTTTACAGAGGCCGTCGAAAATATACAGTGGAAGATACATTCGAGTGGTACGCTAGTACCGGCTGCATAGGTGCAGTATCAAAAGATACATATACAGGTTGTGATCCAACAGGGTCAGGTTCATACCAATGTAAGATGCTACCGAGGTAATTAGTGCCGGTAGCATCTTTCCATAAATCGTTCTTCAGACTAGCAAAAGGGAGTTTGTAATATCGTAGAGCGTCTCTCCATTTGTTCAATACTAAATCTCTAATAGATTCCTCTAATATTGTTAGATAATTTCTAAGAGTTTCCGGATCACCAGGGTTGTAACTGGAGTGTGCAGTGGTTGTTTCTGCGACTGCAGCAGCCAACCATTCTCTAAAATGAGCCTTCCCCCCTAAAGTGAAAGGAAGATCGTATGAAGCCACACAACAAGCCCAATGTAGGTCGGCAAGTTTCTTAGACGTATTGTATTGGACTTGTGGCAGTCGATTCGGGGTAGCCCCAATGCCATAAGGTTCTGTTGACGTCCCGAAGTCTTTTTTCGCGTTTCTACTATCTTTGCAACAAATTTTCTCAAGTCGTTATACCCCTCCTTCCCATGTGTGCCCTCATATTGGATCAATGCGTTGCTTGCTTATTTTCTATTCCATGCGTAAATATTACCATTGCCGCAATAATTACAAGAAGCTAATTTCGCTGGATTGCTTTTGTCCGCCGTGAAGTGTTCAGCTACAAAATCAAGTTTTACTTTTTTATATTAAACTTCTGTATAACTTTGTGCAATCATAGATGCTGGTTTGAACTCTTTTGGCTCTCTGTTTGCTCTTAATTGCCACCACTTCGATCTCGTCCCCTTCAGGAGCCTCATCCTCTTCAGGAGCTTCGTACCCTGCCGGAGCCTTTCCCTCTTCAAGATCCTTGTCCTTTCCACGATCGCCCTCAGTATTTGTTGCCCTAAGGCCCCTAACCGGTGTATCTGCCTCACTACTCGCCATCCCGAATGCATTAGCTCATCTCCCAGAGACTCCCACGCGGTTACTTTTATTTGCTACGTGAGTCTTAAATTTTGTTTTCAATAAGAAACTTATTAAGAGACGCAAAGACCGGGCCCTGTGGGGCGTGAGTCCGCGTGAGCCACGTAGGAAAATAATAGTGGTGAGTGGATAATGACTTCTTAATCGACTTCTTAATCAAGAAATGTCTTGTTCTTAATATTACGGGATCATCCCGTTGTTCCATATTCTTTATTCAAAGTATGTTGACTTCTTAATTCATTCCATATTCTTTATTTAAGGTATGTTGACTTCTTAATTCTTATTTCTAATTAAGAACTGCGTGATTTCTTAATCTTACAAAATTCTTAATTAAGCTCTAAAAATTTCCAAAATTCAATTTGTCTTTGACCCATATTTATTAATTTCTGAAATCCGGAATTGTGTCAAATTACGTATTTCTTTAAATAATTACGGCTATTTTCGCCCTTCATATTTTTTTCTCGAAATTATGTGATGTATGGTCTGATACAGTTTGCACATTGCTTTATATAGACTGATATTTGGATTCTATCGACTATTTTAGCTACGACAGAATAAAAACAATTTTCTATATCTTTCAGTGTACATATCGACGACCTAGGTTTGGCACTTACTTTATTTAGCAACCACCGATATATCACGCACTATGTCTAACGAAAACGCATCTCTCCTGCGTGGAGAAGATGGGCAAGGGCATTCCACTATGCGTCAACGTACAATGTCCGGTGTATCGCAGCGGTCAATACCCAACGTTCCCTATTACAGACCCAGTGCTACCTCGGAAACAGGACTGATGTCTTCGAGTGGTCCCTCAGATGCTCGAAAATACTTCATGATTTCCTGTGCGGCCTTGATCACGCTGTTTACAGCAGGAACCATATTCGGATTCGCAGCAATCAAACCCATTTTCATCAAAGAAGGTGCATATTCACACCTGTGTGACGAACCGTCGCCCGAAGGCTGTGCTGAGCAGAAGTTGCAGCTTGATCTGATGTTCACTCTTGGTTCATTCTTTATCAACGTAGCTGCTTTCCCGGTTGGAGTGTTCCTGGACTTCACCGGACCTCGCATTACTTCCACAGTTGGGACTGTTATCGAGGTGGCTGGACTTGTGTTGCTTGCCTATTCAAGCGATACCTTCGATGGGTACATGGCTGGCTTTATATGCCTGTCCGTGGGCGGTCTGTGTATGTTCTTGTCGAACATTAACCTGATGAATCTGTTCCCCGCTTATATGGGGACTATTAACGGTATCTTGACCGGCTGTTTCGATGCGTCCTCGCTGATCTTCATGCTGTTCAAGCAAGCATCAGTCCACTTCGGAGCAACACTTAAGACTATGTGGTTAGGTTACCTAGCTGTACCCATCTTTAATCAGGTAAGGTTACAGGCAAAGAATATGACATTTA